GTTGGTGGGAATGTAAATTGATACAGCCACTATGGAGAACAGTTTGAAGGTTCCTTAAAAAACTAAAAATAGAACCACCATATGACCCAGCAATCCCACTACTGGGCATATACCCTGAGAAAACCATAATTCAAAAAGAGACATGTACCACAATGTTCACTGCAGCACTATTTACAATAGCCAGGACATGGAAGCAATCTAAATATCCATCAACAGATGATTGGATAAAGAAGATGTGGCACATATATACAATGGAATATTACTCAGCCATAAAAGGAAACGAAACTGAGTTATTTGTAATGAGGTGGATGGACCTAGAATCTGTCATACAGAGTAAAGTAAGTCAGAAAGAAAAAGAAACACCATATGCTAATGCATATATATGGAGTTTTAAAAAGCAGTACTGATGGACCTAGTGGCAGGGCAGGAATAAAGATGCAGATGTAGAGAACAGACTTGAGGGCACGGGATGGGGGGGAAGGGGAAGCTGGGATGAAGTGAGAGAGTAGCATTGATGTATATACCCTACCAAATGTAAAATGGATGGCTAATGGAAAGCTACTGCATAGCACAGGGAGATCATCTTGGTACTTTGTGATGACCTGGAGAGATGGGATAGGGAGGGTGGAAGGGAGGCTCAAGAGGGAGGGGATAGGGGGATATATGTATACATATAGCTGATTCACTTTGTTGTACAGCAGAAACTAACACAACATTGTAAAACATTTATACTACAATAAAGATGTGGGGGGAAAAAAAGAGATACAACTTTTCTTGTATATCTTCATAGTTTTCTACATCTCAGTTAGTATATTTACTGTTAATATGAAAGATTTCCTTAACTTTTCTTATCCAACAAACTAAACTCCTTGGCTGGATCCATTGTGTTACCAGAGAATTATTATATGCATGGGATATAATAGATTCTCAATAATTATTAGACTGGAAGGTAGACAAGTAGTTTTGCCTGAAATAATTGAGTCAATGAATGAGTGACCTAGAACTTTAAAGAGCCAAATTCAGAGGGGAAGAGACAGATAAAAATCTGAGATAGTTGGAGATCTCCATCATTTTTTGGCCAAGCAAAGGAGAAAAAAGTATCACCAGTGTTTAGCATCCTTTAGGAAGTCTTAAAGTCACTTTTCTGGCCATAGCAGCCACCCAGTTGCTGAAAATGTGGTTTTCTCTGTGTATTCTGGGTAGATTTTTTCCAGAACATGTAGAGGAAGAGTGTACAAGGATTTCATAGCCCCCCTGACAGGCTGCTTAGAAAATGTGTGCCTCACCTTTGCCAATTTTCCCCACTGTGTCCTTGCAGGTGATGACCACAGAGACGAGGTGGATTTGTTACTGTGGGTACCATTACTTCTACCATCAGCTTCTTCAAAACAATGATACAGTCTTCTTTGTGCATGGAAACTCTTCTATTTCCTGTGTTGCAGTGGATTCCTCCTGCAGATAAGAAATGCTTAACTGAGAAATGCTCATGTTGGGATATCATCGATGAGACTTTAATTTGGGCATGGTGACTGTTTCCCTTGCTTCCACTTGACTCAATCCCAGGAGCCTCAGTAGAGGAAATATTATTGCACAAGAAACTCAGAATGGTGGAATTGCTCAGTGCTCCCATAAATACACATTTATAATTTTCATTTGCCATGTGGTAAATTTAAAAATTAAGATCTATTAAAATTTTTTCAAAAATTCAAAGCATATCTAAATATCTAATATATAAATTAAGTGCCCTCCTCTCTCCCAATTCTATCTCCTAGAGTTATCCTCTATTAAGTGAGTTGTGTGCATTCTTTAAGTGGATAGATGCACACACACACAAACACACACACACAAGATATTTTGGGGGGTTCTGGAAGTGGAGCTATATTGTACACATTATTCTTCAAATTGCATTTCATTTAACAGTTTTTTCAATACCTTTTTCTGTTTCAGTAATACATATCTGTGTCATTTGTTGAATGACTGCATGATTGTTTTGTACATGAAATATAATTAAATGTTTTAAGCATTTCTCATTCATAGATATTTATGTTAGCACCAAATTTCTGTGCAATGAACCTCCCTATATATCAATAATTTGCATTTGTCTATTATATCATAATAAATTACTCAGCAGTGAAAATACTGGGATTAAGTATATGCACATTTCAAATTTTGAAAATGATCACAAGATTTCCTTTAAAATGTGGTAACAACTTTATCCTCAAATGGCAATGAATGAGATTGCCAGCTTTCCCACAACCTCACAGATAATGAATTTTATGACTATTTAAAATCTTTGCCAGTGTGATAGCCCAAACTATTGTCTTAAATTGTATTTCTTTCATTTTTGAGTGTGATCATTTTTTCATATGTTTATTAGCCATCTGTATTTTTAAATTTTCTTTTTATATCCAATTTTGGGGGTGGGTGGAGGTTTTAATCTCTTGCTAATTTCAGAGAGCTCATTTATTATTGGGGGAATAAGCTTTAGATTGTCAAGCATTACAGATATTTTTTACACACTTTTAAACTTCATTTTTGTTATAAGAATGTGTATGACTGTTATGTGTCCAAGTATAACCATGTTCGCTTCTATGGCTTCTGAGTTTCATGTCATTTTAGAAAGATATTTACACTGATCCCATAAAACTCTCCACCTATGTTAACTTCTAATTATTTTGTGTTTTTTAATTCAAATTCTTAAATCATGAGAAAGTTTTTTTATTTCAAATCTTAAAGTTGCCAAGTTATTTGCCATTACTTGCGATTTATTTGCCAATAACTGCCCATTTATCTGTAATGCCATCTTGCATATATGCTGTATTCTCATCTGTGACTGGCTCCATTTTTGTTCTGTGGGTCTGTGTGTCTTCTTCTGCCTCCTGTCTCATGTGTCTTCTCATTGGAAGAAATTACAGTTTAGACTGCAATTTCATCAACTTCAATAAATTAATTTAGTGGAGAATTGGTTTTTAACAATAGTCTTCCTATCCAAGAACAAGGTATGTCTTTCTTTTTATTCAATAAGTTTAATTACTGTTAATATTTTCATTAATATTTTCACTTTGTGGTGGGGGTATCTTCTTTCAGTTTATTTTCTTACTTGATAATTTTTCTATATCTGAAAGTTTTGTTTTGTTTTGGGGGTAAGTGATCTCCTTACTCTTTCTCATGGCTTTTCAGAATTTTTTTTCAAATTATGTACTAAATCCTTTGAAAATACTGATAGTTGTGATTCTCCTCTTCCAAATGATCTGGATTTTAGTTATGTTGATAACATTCACTGACTGATACTTTCAGAGCACTTAAACAATTGTGGAAATATTACCCACCATTGATTTAATTAGGTTTTAATGGATACTTCTTGGGTTTGACCAGCATGTTTTTGCTGGTCTATTAAGCAAAAAGACTCTCAGAAACCTACTGCAGCAAAGGGAAAACACCACTTTGACAAGGTTTAGTAGTGCTTCAAAAGCAGGAAATTAGGGCTTTGAGGGATGGGTTGATGTGGTTTAAGGCAGGATTTTCAAGGCAGGGAACTGGTTAAGAGTGGGCAAAATTTGTCCTGCGATAGTTTGAAGTCGGTGAAAGAGTAAGATGAGGACCTTGATGTGAGTTTAGATAATCAAATTTTTGTCTGATGAATGAGCTACTTCCCTATATGAATAATAAGTTATCAATGATGGAAGAACTATTTGCTTAGATGAACAGACTGAATTTATTTGTTGGTTTACAGTTCTATCTTGTTTATAGAACCCTGCTAGGGGTGGTATCAGGTCTTAGTTCCAATAGGTAAGTTATTTTGATGTAAGTAGTCTCAGTCATCAAAGTAAGATGCTAATTTTAAATTTGAGATTCTTGTGTATTGTGTTAGGAAAAGTCTCTTACCTTTGATATATTTCTAAAGAATTTTAATCAAAACCAAGTGGTAGATATAATCAAATGCTTTTTGCATAAACAATTATATTATTCTTTAAACTTTTATCATTGTGAAATAATTCATTTTTAATATTGAAATTTCCTTATATTCCTTTTATTGTTTATTCAGCAAACTCATTTTGGTTAAAAAGAAGTTTTGCTTTTTAAATTTACTACTGAATTATGAGTATCTTAATTTGATTTGGAACTTTTGCAGGTGTACTACTTAGATGAAACTGATCTGTAATTTTCTTTTTTGTTCTGTTTTTGTCATGTTTTTATATTAGATTTTCTGGTTGTGTTAAAATAATTTTAAGGATTTTCTTTTTACTTTGTGCTCTAGAATGGGTTGAAAAGGTTTAGCATTAACATCAGTAGTTAAGCGGACACATCATTTAAATCATCTGAATTCTCCTTTGTTTTTGGTGGTTTGGAGTAGAACTGAGGCTAACTAGAAAGTGTTCTCACTTTTTTCTACGGTTATTGCTTATTTTTTGTTTTATTATCTTATATGTAACTTGTTTTCTACTAGAAAATCACAGTCCAAGTAGATTTGCAAACACGGTAGGTAGGATGAAGTAATACAAAGTGTTCTTTCATCACTCTGTTAATTTCTCTTGTCTCAATTAATATCCATTTTCATTCCAGTCTTGGTTGTTTCTGCTATGTCTTTTTTAATGAAATGAGTTTGACTCATGGATTTTTAGCATCACTAGTTCTCCATTCCCCTGTTCCCCAATCAGCTCTTTGGTATAATTTATCAGTGTTGTTTTTTTAATGTTCTAATTTATTTATATATTTTTTCTGTATTCCTCTGTGGTTTTTTCCTAATAAATTCTTAAACATGTGTAATCCACTGATTTTCACTTGTTCTTGGCAATGAAAGATTTTCTCTGTTCTGAATTTTATAAAACTTCACACAGAGTATAAGGAGAAAAGAACAGTGACTTTACAAATACCAGTAACCCAGTTTCTATCACATTTTGCCATATTCACTTCATGTTATTTTTAAAGTATTTTTAAATAAGTTAGAGAAATCATAACACTGCTTTCCCCGAGAAGCATTTTTTAAATTTTATTTTTAAAATCATAATATATGTTACAAAATTCAAAATTGAAAAAGAGATTTTCAGTGAAAGGTAATATATCTTTTCAATTCTGTCTTCCATAACCACTCAATTTCCCTTTCCTGGAGACAACTATGTTACAGTTTCTTGTGTTTCCTTTCGGACATACATATACACATACACACATCACACACACATCCCAAAATGTGTGTGAGTGTATGCATAGATACACACACATACTTTTATAGTGTTCTGTACTTCCTTTTATGTTATATATCTATGTAATGTGTAAATATTTTTAATATTTCTAGCAGATCAGCTCATATAAGTAATGAGGAGCTTCCTTATTTTTTTAAAAACTATACTTTTACTGGTTCTGATGAACCCAGGGGCAGGACAGGAATAAAGACGCAGATGTAGAGAACCGACTTGAGGACACGGGGAGGAGGAAGGGTAAGCTGGGATGAAATGAGAGAGTGGCATGGACATATATACACTACCAAATGTAAAATAGATGTCTAGTGGGAAGCAGCTGCATAGCACAGGGAGATCAGCTCAGTGCTTTGTGACCACCTAAAGGGGTGGGATAAGGAGGGTGGGAGGAAGATGCAAGAGGGAGGGGATATATGTATATGTATAGCTGATTCACTTAGTTATACAGCAGAAACTAACACAACATTGTAAAGCAATTATATTCCAATAAAGATGTGTTAAAAAATAAAATTTTACACAGGTAAAATTTTCATAGTTAAATGCATAGATCTTAATAGTGTAATTCAATGAGTTTTCTTAAAAGTATATACCCATGTAACTACTACCTTATTCAGGAGGTAGAGTATTTTTTATTACTTGAGAACCTCCCCTACTGCCTCCTTCCAGCTAAGCCTAATTCTCATAGGAGACAATGTTCTGATTTCTATCATCATAGATTAGTTTTGCCTGTTCTCACAATTAATTAAATGAAATCACACAGTATATGTCTGACTTCTTCCACTCATCATAATGATGTTGAGATTTATCCATGTTATTCCCTGTATCAGTAAGTTTAAATTTTTTTCTGTTTAGTTATAGAGTAACATTCCATTGAACGGGCATATTGCAATTTGTTTATTCATTCTCCTGTTGATGGACATCTGGGTTTCCAGTTTTTAGCTATTTTGAATATGTTAGCAAATCTTTTATGCAATTACCTAAAAATGGAATTTGCTTGATTATAAGATATGTTTTGCTTAATTTTATAAGGAACTGTCAAAGAGTCTTCTAAAGAGGTGGAAATTTTTCACACTCTCCATATATTATCAGTGACATATGGTATTTTCAATTACTGTCCATCATCACCAACACTTGAAGTTGTCATTCTTTTAAATCTTATTCACTTGAGTTAGTGTGAGATGTTATCTTATTGTGACTTCAGTTTACAGTTTGGTCACTTAAGAAGATAAAAAATTTTCATAAGTTTAGCTGCCAGTTTTAAATCTTAGGTAAAGTTTCTGTTTAGTTTTTCCCAAAATTTTATTTATTATTTTGAAGTAATTTTAGACTTACAGGAAATTTTCAAAAATAGTACAGAGAGTTCTTATATATTATTTACCCTGATTTCCTAATGTTAGCATCTTATATAACCATTATTATAACGTTAATACACGTAACAATCTTTGAAATACGTAAATACTATTAACTAGTCTGAAGACCATAATTTTAATTTTTCCAATTGTCCACTAATGTTCTTTTTTCTACTTCAGAATCCAATTCAAGATTCCATATTGCATTTCTTTGTCATGTTTCCTTTTTCTCTATGCCAACCTCCTAATCTGGGGGAGTACCTCAGTCCTTCTTTGTATTTCATAACCTTGACACATTTGAGAAGAACTAGGCTGTAATTTTGTACAAAAGTCCTCAATCTGGCTTGTCTGATACTTTAATGATGAGATTGGGGTTATGCAATTTTGGTAAAGATAACACAGCGATGATAGTATGTGCTTTTAGTGGATCATATCAGGAGTGCATGAAGTCAATATGTCTTATTTCAGCGAATGTTAAATATGGTCACTTTTGGTTAAGGTGGTGTGTGCCAGGCTTCTCCACTACAAAGTTACTACTTTTCTCTTTTCAATTAACAAATATTTTGTGAGGAGATACTTTGAGACTATGCAAATATTGTCTTTCTCATCATACATTTACTCACTAATTTTAGTACCCATTGATCATTCTTGCCTACATAAATTAATACTATGATGTTTACCTAATGATAGTTTTCTATTTCCATGATACTTTCTACACTTATTCATCAGAATTTAACTATAGGGCAGAACTCTTCCCTGCCCCCCTCCTCTATTTTTTATGTATTCAGTTGTTGTTCTACATCAGTATGGATTTATGATATTTACTTTAGTCTATGGGTTTTCATATATTGTTATAATTATTTATTTTTACTTCTAAAATTTTTTTTAAGATTTGACCATTGGGAGCTCCTTTAAAGTTGGCCCCTGTGTTCTTTTACCATGGCCACATAATTTTTTGAGCACTTACTTGTTTTCTGGTTCCACAGATGTTCTAGGTTTATCTTATGTTTTCCTTCCCCAAACATGGAATCAACCATTACTTCAAGGAGCTCTGGTTCTTTGTATTGGAAAATAATATTTAGAAACCAAGATCTGAGTGTTATGTGTGCTCATTGCTACTGGGAAATCATTTCTTCTAGGCCCTACTAATGCACAGAGTTGGGAAATATTTTTAGGTTTATTCATACACACATGCACCCACCTAAAAAACTTCTATCTCTCTCCATCTGTGTGTTTGTATCTCCATACTAATGTTTCTGATTATGACTTATTTTCTTCTTCTCTCTTTCCCTATTTGTAACTCCTTTCTCTAACAGCAAGAAACTTACCTTTCATTATCCACAATAGTTTCTTATTTCCTTAATCCAATATGTAGTAGTTTCAGAATTGCTAAAACATACCCCTTTAAAAATGAAAACACTAACTAAAGTACAGTGTTCAAATACAGGGCTTTTGTTTCTTTACCCTTA